CCATCTCTACTAAAAATAGAAAAATTAGCTGGGCATGGTGGTGTGTGCCTGCAGTTCCAGGTACTCGGGAGGCTGAGGTAAGAGGATGGCTTGAATCCAGGAGTTTGAGGTTGCAGGGAGCTATGATGACACCACTGCACTCTAGCTAGGGCGACAGAGCGAGACTATATCTCAAAAAAAAAAGTATAGAGCAGAATATGACTTTATATCATCATTAATAGGTTACTATGTGAGAAGGGATACCAATTCTAGGAAATGCATTATTGGATAATTACCAAAAAATGGGTTCTCTGTTACTTTCTTTTACATTTAAACCCCTGGTTCTGACTGAGCCCCTTTATGAAAAACACATTTATCATGCTCACAACAGTAGCAGATCAAATGAGCTGAGCATGGAAAAGATACTTAAAAAAAAACAACACATATTAGTATGCAATTAAGTATCTAAATAAGGAAAAACGTTAGGCAAAACAATACTTTAAATGTTTTTATTATAGAAAATCTCAGTATTTCAAACATATACAAAAATAGAGAAAGTAATCTATTTTCATGTAGCTATCACCTAGTTTCAATTATCAACTCATAACCAATCTTGTTTCATCTGTACTCCCACCTTCACCCCTTTTTATTTTGAAGCAAATCATTGCATCTATAAATATTTTAGTATGTAGGTATAACAGAAAACAATATTCTTCTTTAAAAAGCAAAATCATAATACCATTATCACACCTTAAAAATCAACAATTCCTTGATATCCAGTCAACGTTCTCTTTCTAAAGAACTCTACCAACAAGACTAGTATTCTGCCTATGCCACTTCAATCTTAAACAGTACTTATTTAATGGTCACCCCCACAGAACGCTGGTTACTAGTGGGCACAGAAATAAGAAGGGGAGGCAAGTTTTGACAACTCACCTCATTTCCTCCTGGAAGCCTGTTCATGTGTACCAGCTGACCTTGATCGTCCAACACTAGCTCGGTATATGTCAGTATGTCAGATGGCAGAGGAGGTGAGGGAAGGAATACTTGAGTGGACATAGACTCCCAGAGTTTGATCAGGGACTAGTAGGAGAGAGAAGGTTGATTACTCAGTGACAATTAACATTTCAATACAGACAAAAATAATCATTATGATTCAGTCAATCTGATTTTGCTTTCTTTTCCAAGTGTTCTGCAGAGAATCTAAGCAGTAGACCAAATTCTCCAGCTCCTACTCTCAGTTAAAATAAATTTGTAATTATTTTTTACATGCCAAAAGTCAGGCACTTTTCCAACAGAGTCAAACTATTGAGTGATTCTGAATCAGCACTAGAGCATTAACACACACAAAAGACCTAACACTATCCCAGGAATATTAAAATTAAAAAACTAAAGTAGCATTAAATCCTTCTTACAAAAAGGAAAAAAAATCCTAAACAAATTTGGCAATAGAAGAATATTCAGGAAAGTGACATGACATTCAGCTAATAAAAAGAAAATCCCGGAAGGCAAGAATAAAGTTTTTACTAGACGTTTAGGGAAAGAATCTTCTTTCTAATATTTTTCATAGCTACAGGCCCATACACAGGAATCAGCTAACTAAATGTACATTACTGTTTGTAAATGTGCAAATCAATTATGCTCAAATTTGAGAAAATAGACAGACACACCTATTCATTATAAAAACATTATGATTTTCATTTCCAACTTTCTATAAATAAAACAAATCTTTCATGAAGCAGGAACCAGTTCAGTTCTTTCTTTGCTTGCCTCAAAGTAACATTTAAAGCCCAAATGACTCACACATACGTATATATCCTAATCACAGTGTCAATGTCTACTATATAAGAAGAATTATTTAGAATGTGATTTCTATTTATAGCACTGGCACTGGGAAACAGAACCAAACTCAGCTTTTAGGCTAACAATGCTATAAAAGGTAAATATTAAGTGAAGGTAGCTATGTTTCAGGCAATAGAATTTGTAAACAAATGGTTACATAAAGGTAATCTCTTATATTGGTGAATAACACAGGAATTACAGACTATTTAACAAAGCCACATATATAACTTCATTAAAATTCAAATGTGGTAATACTGGTAGTATTGACTAGGATACTTGGAAAAATTCTATATTCTTTTTATACTTTATCGGTTGCATTTTCTGCTGGTGATATACTTTTCTTGCCTTCTATTGATAGAAGAAAAATCTGCAGCATAGAGATGATTCACCATAAAGATCGAAGGAATTTATTTTCATATAGAGGATAAGATTCATAATGTCATATTTTCTCACACTAGTTTTTATTCAGCTATAATAAATCTCACACAAAAGAACGTATACTGTAAACTTGTGCCATGAACTCTAGATCCATTTGTCTATGCTATCTATATTGATTCTCATCATATTAACCTAGGCTATCAACGAGGGACCTGGGTTATCCCGGAAAATAGGAAAATGAGAACTACTTTCATACTTCTTTTTTAATATCCACAATTTGAATACAGACTTAGAAATGTATATGTAATTCCTCACACAGGTCATTGTAAACTATTAATACCATCATAGGCACATGGTCTTAGTTTACTCTCTTCTACTCAAAAGAGACTTCTATTCTCACCATTCTTCCCATTAATTCGTAAAAAAACATCCTATCTGACTTGGCAGTCAAAAATTCTCAAATGAAATAGAAAAGAAAATATTATCAAGATATTTCCTGCCCTCTGGGAGTGCCCCTTTTCCAGTCAATTCTTCATCTGATGGAAATTCAGGAAAACTTTGCCTCCTTGGAACATGTCAGAGCCCCCTGGTTAGCCATTTTACCTGCCGAAACATCTCTGGAATATCATATATGTATGTTGTCCCTAAGGACTGTGCCTGGAACCTCTTTGATTGAAGCAGGTCTTTGGTCACATATGGAGTATTGATTAACATTCCATGCAGTGGTCCCTGTTTGTCTCCATATGCCTGAAACATGATCTACAAAAAGAAAAAAGAAAAAGAAAAAAAGAATGGCATAAAGAGTCAAGAGACAGAGAAAAAAATCAGGTAGCTGCCTAGAGGGGCTTTTTTTTTTTTTTAAATAAATGTTATCTCCTGAAAAACACTTTTGGTGGGTTCAGTAGCTAGCATAGACATGCCTCTTAACACTGGATACTTTGTGCTCTCTGCTCTTTACAGATTAACCCCCCAAATTGGTATGTAACCGGCTATACACCATAAGCTGCTCTCACTTTTGAATTAGTTGAAATCAACAAGAAAACACAGTATAAATTTCATATCTCAGCGATAGTCTGACGATGCTTGCCTTCTAAAGTGACTTGAATCCCATATACTCAAAAACGAAGTGTTATCAACTAACCAGTCTGGAGCAGTCCTAGTATTTAAGTTGAGGAACACCTATGCACTAAAGATATACTCTTAGCCAGGCATGGGGCCTGCACCTGTAGTTCCAGCTACTAGGGAGGCTGAGGTGGGAGGATTGCTTGAACCTAGGAGTTCGATGTTGCAGGGAGCTATAATGATGCAACTGCACTCTAGCCCAGGCAACAGAGCGAGACCTTGTCTCAAAAAAATAAATAAATAAATTTTAAAAAGATAATTTTCTTCTTTCCCCAATGGTAGAAGACAGATCAAGGCTGTACTGTATTATCTGTGCTTTAGTCCACTTGATCAGAAGGTGCTTCATAAATATTATTAGCCACACAAAGGCTTCAAAGATTTCTGCCAGAAGTGGATTTCATCCATCCATCTAGATATTTAATTCTTGTTAGCTTATAAGACATAGCCTATAGTAAAATAACATTTTATTAAATCATATATATTAAAAATATATATGTATATATATTTATTTTCCCCCAGGATACTGTCTACAACTAGTGAATAGCTCCTGGAATACCTCTAATGTCACATAATGAAATCACTACACCAGTTTTTAATCATTTTAACTCAAATATTTCTAGAAGAGTACTTCATGCTCCATATATTTAGATAGTTTTATTTGCTTATGAATATTTATAAGGGATGCCATTATTTCAATTCAATTAATATTTATTGAGTGCCCAGAGGTTGTATAACACTAAACTAGGCACTTTATACATGAATACATAAAACATAGATTCCCAACACAGTGAATACAAATGCAGATTGGGATGTAAGGGGATGTGTATACCCAAACGTGTATTCAGACCTAAAAAATAAGCACAAGTCTATCATTTATGAATGAATAGATTTGTGGACCTGAAATATAGGCACAGGAATAGAATTAAGCACTTTCCTAAACCCTGGGTACTGTGCAGCTAAGTGAATCCTTAGCCCTTTAGCTCAGAGGAACAAGAATGTTCTGCTCATTTGTCAATCAGATCCTGTTCAGGGCAAAATTTGTCTGAGGCTGCTTAAAGGCCCACAGACTAGAGATCCCAGTCCTCTTCCTCAAGGCCAATGGGAAAAGTCACCACATGGGAGGTAGAATTAGTAATATCTTAAGAATGTGAGAATAGAAACAGAATGTTTTAAGAGATTCAAAGTGTTAAGTAAAGCAAGGGTACAGTATGAAAAAAACTGAACTCAGAAGAGACAAGCCAAATCAAAATAAGAAAAATGGGTAAAAACTGTAGGTTCTTAGAACTACATTTCTTGTCTATTACCCGAGATAAGGCCTATGGGTACAGTGCGTGACTCAGATTTGCCAAGCTCTGGCATGAAGACAGGCTGGTCATAGTTGAGTAACATAACCGCGCACTGAGGAAGGGGTCGGAGAGAGCCATCTAGGTTACATATACTGCTGGTGGAAATTTAAAATGGTACAACCACTTTGGCAAACAGTTTGTCCGTTTCTTATAAAGTTACATATTCATGTACTGTAACCCAGCAATTATACTCTTAATATTTATCCAAGAGAAATGAAAACATATCTACACAAAGATCTATAAATGAATGTTCATAGCAGCTTTATCCCTAATAGTCCAAACTGGGAAATAAAACCCAAATGTCCATCAACAGATGAATGAATATAAAAATGACAGTAAATCCATAAAACGGAATACTACTTAGCAATGAAAAGGAACATACCCATAATGTATGCAACATGGATGAACCTCAAAAGCATTATGCTGAGCAAAAAAGCCAGACATAAAATAGTATACATTGTCTTTTTCATTCATATGAAATTCTAGGACAGGAAAAACTAATCTATAGTGACAGAAAGCAGATCAGTGTACAGACAACCAGTACAGGTAATAAAAAAAAAAAAAGAGAAAGAAAGAAAGCAGACGAGTGGTTGCCTATAGCTGGGGTTGTCTCCTCTAACTTTGACTGCAAAGGGGAATCAGGGAATTTTGTGGGGTAATGAGATGTTCTCTACCATGATTGTGATGGTAGTTACACGGGTGTATACAATTGTCAGAATGAAATGAACTGTACATGAGTCCATTTTATTACATGTAAATTATACCTCAATAAAGGTGATTTTAAAATGTTATTTCTCTCTTACGCTACACATTGGAAATCAAATCACTTATATGTTTTACAAGTTCATGAAAATATGTACATGTTATATATGGCACACCTTTCACCAAGAAGCCATCACAAAAGGGCTTCTCTTAGAAACCAATTTCTGACCCACATAATCTGCTCCCTTGGAACCCCATACACTTATATGATAACATTTACCACACCACAGAGAAACAAATCATTTATGTCTTCTTCCACTGACATGTAAATTCCTTGAGTAGACATCGCGGTTTATCTTTGTATCCATAGTGTATGACACACTATAAGTGGTCAGTAAACACTGAATTAAAGGAAAAATGACTGAATGACAGACATGGTTCTGTATTATCTTAAATTCATATAGTGAATCGCTAAAGAAAGGGAAAGACAGTTTGGCAGTTGGCACTGAGTAGGCACGAGGAGCAGCGTAACTGGGCTGGAGGCTGCTCCTTCCATCAGCTCCCACTTCCAGCCACGCTCACAAGTTATTTCCCACGTGGCACTGGCTCTTGAACTCTCTCAACGAAGAACCTAAGGAAGACTTCTTCCTTCAGAGTTCCTTAACTATGCAGGACCCTTTGTAAAAGGGGTTCCCTCTCAGGCTGAAGGTGGCTCACTCATTCTTTCAGATACTTATGGAGTGCTTATTCTTACTAAGCACAATAGCACCAAACCCTGACTGAAGGCATCTACAACTTTCATGCTCCTGCGTCACCACTAGCCAGCATGAGGGAAATTACAGAGCTTTCTAATAAAAGAAAGGAAAAAAAGGAAAGTAGTTATGAAGAACAAACATATTTATCAAAAACATTAAAATCTCAAGTGGCCATCTTATTTTTCACAAGAATAGACCTGCCTTGAAGCCACTGTAGAAGTTAATTAAAAACATCCTTGCTCATAGAAAGCTTTGACTGAAAATGTCTTCAAGGTTGTCCTGAAAAACATCAAATGCAGCAAAAATTATCGAACACGCTTTCTCTTGCTCACCACTCGTGCTCTTACTCACTCTGTTTGTTTTACTGCTCAGTTCTCACATGGTAGATCTCTCTAGCCATCTAACTGGGAATCGAAGCACAAAATGAAAGGTCATTCTGACAACTGTCCAAACCAAGATTTTTTTTTTTTTTTGAGACAGAATCTCGCTCTGTCACCCTGGATAGAGTACAGTGGCGTCAGCCTAGCTCACTGCAACCTCGAACTTCTGGGCTCAAGTGATTCTCCTGCCTCAGTCTCCCGAGTAGCTGGGACTACAGGTGCGTACCACCACACCTGGTTAATTTTTTCTATTTTTGGTAGAGACGGGTCTTGCTCTTACTCAGGCTGGTCTCAAACTCCTGAGCTCAAGTGATCCTCCCACCTTGGCCTCCCAAAGCGCTAGGATTACAGGTGTGTGGTGAGCTTCAGCTTCTGGCCCAAACTGAGATTTTTAAAATTCATCTTCGAAAGACCAGAAAAAAAATGTCTTTTCCTACCTCTATTCCTGGATTTTAAAGGACAGAGATAAAAACAAGAGACACATAATCTCTTCCTGGCACCCAATGTACAGAATAGACCGAAACCCTTGTTTACATATACTGGAGCATGTTCATCCTTTAATCAGAAGGAATGCACTTCTCAAGTACAGGGCAAAGCCCTAAAATAATATCCTAGTTCTTAAAACATGAGAGCAATAGTGAACCAATCCAAATTCAGTATCATAGTAAATGACTCAAATATTTGGAAACTAAGGTGGTAAAACAGATTAAAAGGGAATTCTCTGTTCTCACAGAATCAGTCTACTGAGTCACTTTCTATATTTACATTCTCAATTTTTCTACATGAAAATGGGTTAAAGTTTGCCACTTTGCTCTTATATAGATATATGACACCCTGAACTCTTTGAAGGAAAGACAATGTGTATAAACAGAATAACATAATAGATAAATATGATAAAGTCACTGCTTGATAGTACTCATGCTACTACACTATGTTGAAATTTTCCTTCTTTAACACAGAAATTGGTGACATAGTCCAACAATTCTCCTTTCCTCACTTGCCAATAAGCAGTTTAACTATGCCGAAAACAGGAAAGACAAATCAGACCAGAGACTCAATTGCTGAAGTAGTCCAATAGTCCTCTAATAAAAGAGCCCTAAACTGCAGAATTAGCTCTGGAGTCAGGTTCACTTGGCATCTGTTAGTGCTCACCAATATGGGACAAAACGTTGAATGTTTTATGACATCCATGACTGAGAATACAGACACATCATAAAAGGCAAATGAAGTTTTTCAAATTCACATAACCATTCAAGCTCATAGAAGATAATCGTGGGGTGAACCAATGAGATTTGTGAGTTTGGGTCTTCCATAACAAGGACAAGTGGCTTATCTGTAGGACCAAATCAAAACTCTGAGGCGCCTCCTTGACTACTGTACCTGGGCTGTCCTGGAGTCAGTCACTTCCTTGTAGAGGCTGATGTCCAAGTAATAGCCAGACTCGTTTGTCAGGAAGAGGCGGATAGGAATTGCTTTTCCAGTTGGTGTCAGGCGAATGTTGATTTTCAGTTCTGCCTGGAGGACGCGTAATTTCCACAGCCGACTTCCATAGCGCATTACCATGCTCCGCACAGATTCTTCAATCTGACACAGACACATCACCAAGCATAAAACTTAAATACCTTGTAACTACAACCTGTTCAGGTCTGCCCATCTTTGGGAAAGAAGGATTGAAAAAAAGATGCCGATTTGTGGAGATATACACTATATTCCTTACAAAAAGTGGTCACACAGTTTCTTCCCAAACATATTCTTCCTTGGAAAAAGTCAGGGACAATTTCATGTTGGCCTAGCATTTTTGAGTGGTTTTCTCTGGCTCATGACATCCAAATCTGTGCAACTCTTTCCCAATTATATTCATACTCTATATCAAAGATCTGCAGCATCTAAAGTTATAAGCCATGGGATTTAAGAGAAAGCTCCCAATAAGAATAAAATCTCTAGTTAAATAGCTATTAAGTAGCATTTATATGCATGGTAACTATGTTTCATTGCGCTTACAGGGCCTTAAATCAAAATAGCAATTACCACCATGAGCTTTTTTCCATACAATTTTATTAAACTTTTAAATATATGTCTCTTAGTAAATTGCACAAATTAAAGAAAGGCAATTTGTAGGTGGTGCTAGAATGTTTTCTCTAAACAGAACCCTGAAGCTTGGTCACTGCTAAGTCCACCTGTGATTTAAAGAGATGGGACAGATGTTCCCTGGCTTCTCTAAGCTTTATACCAAGTCAGCTTAATGCTCTTAGTTTTCAGGGTTAGGAGAGTTATTTTAACTAAATGGCCTTAGATGTGATTTCTTATCATTGACATGCTAATGCAAAACCTTTACGGCTATAGGCAGCTAGAACATACTATTAGAAATTACCACGTTCTTAAATGAAGTGGCTTTTTAAAATGCTTTCTCAACTTAGAAAATCTCAAAAATATCTCATATCACCCCTCTCTTTTGGTTCTTCAGTAGTATGTGTCACCCTTGCAGTTTGTTTCTGCACCACAGAATTTTAAGTTAGAATGGGTTTCGAGGAGTTAACTCCTCTATTCTCACACTTGCTTGTTAACCAAGAGATATTTATCCATTCTTTTCTTGAGGGAACAAAAGCAACAATCTCTGTACAGAAAATTGGTAGCCATCAATGACCAGAAAAGCAGAGCCAGAGCATACAGGTGTTTAGAGTGGAAGCAGAGAGACTAATCTCGAAAAAATCATTGAAAAAAGGTAAGCCAAATCTAAAAAGACATACAGTTTTAGTGTCCAGGCCATGTTTTAAGTTTCTTGGCTTCATCAGTCCCAGAATGCTTAGGAGAAATTTTTTTTTTTTGGGGGGACCAGGTCTCACTCTGTTGCCCGGGCTAGAGTGCAGTGGTGTCATTATAGCTCACTGAAACCTCAAACTCCTGGACTTGAGCGATCCTCCTGCCTCAGCCTCCTAAGTAGCTAGGACTACAGGCACACGCTACCCTGCCCAGCTAATTTTTCTATTTTTTGTAGAAATGGGGTTTTGTTCTTGCTCAGGCTGGTCTCAAACTCCCAGGCTCAAGCAATCCTCCTGCCTTGGCTTCCCAAAGCACTGGGATTACAGGTGTGAGCCACCACACCTGGCCTTTAGAAGTTTTGCTTAAATTAGATGATGAGATTTGAGACTTAATGAGTAGTACTGTCCTTGGCTTTCCTGAGAGACAAAAGGAACCCATTATTAACTCGGAATCTTGAAGAAAAAAGTAGAATGCTATACCTCAGTTTAGATACTAAGTTCAGAAAGCAAAAGTCCATGGCTATGACTAATCTTGAGAAAGAGAAATACTGGTTCTCCTACCCAAATTCCATAACATGATAGAAAGAGTTGGCGGGAACACAGAGAGTAGCCTGTCTTTATTACACCTGGGATAAAAGGTCAAGTACAAAAATCACCTTGTTTTCCTTCCTTAAATTATATAGAATGTATTAGAATGGAGCCTCAGGGAAGAAAATATACATAATACATGTGAAATTCCTTATCAGCCAAATTCTCTCCCTGTGGAAAAATACTAAAGAAAAATAGGTTAGATACTTTGGGAAGGTACATTATCTCACTAAGGCCACTAGGTAAGTAACATTTAAAACAGTAATTTAGCCAAAATGCTCAATAACAGCAAAATTAATTATTCCAGATGAGAAATCTTAGGGAATAAAACAGGATCACTATCATGACAAATATCATAAAACAGGCACTAACAAAGGAAAAGGGTTTTACATTTTTGTACTGCTTATAAGTGACCAGCAAGCTAACACCACACCACCACCTTCAGTCTTGAGGTCTGTTTTTAATGGCTTTATCAAATTTTTGACACCATCCCAGAAACTCAGTCTTACAAGGGTTCTGTAAACTTTAAAGATTAAGGGATCAACCAATTGGAAAAGAGTACCTGTTTCTAAGTCCAAGTGAGGTAAGTATGAATGAATCCCTTTGTTTGTGCTTTCTAGTGCGGGGAGAGAAGCTAAGAAGGAATGTACCTTTGATGGGTCCATGATGACTGTGGGCACAAAGTTGAGGAAGATGTGGTTACAGTCAGTGCGGACATTTGTATTGTTAAAAGCAACTTCCAACTCATCCATGGCTTCCAGAAGGAGTCGCTCCCCTTCATTTTGTAGATATTCAAAAGAAGCTTCCTACGCAGGAAGAAAATCAACATTAGTGATTTTTAAAAGAGGCAATAAAGAAATGGCTATTATAATTACTTAAGCAGCCATATGTCATGAATCATAAGACACCTGGTAAAGAAACTGTTTACCCTTCTGCCTAGAGTCAGTCCAGCAACTACAGGCAGCAGGGGCAGGCAAGGGACAGATAAAGAGCCCCCACCAGCCCTTTCTCCCGCCTCTTAGTATATCATTCTCTTCCAAGAGGCAGAAATGCTGGGCATCCCCAGAGCTGTAACTCCAATAGGATTATATTTCACATATGCCAAATAGAGCTACTTAGAAAGGAAATCTGTTTAGAAAGGAAAAGCTGAAGAAAGGTTATAGCTGTGGGATGCAATAGTAACTAACACACCAGGAAGTGCCTTGCTATATATGGACACTACCCATACCTCGAGACACGTTTACCATGGCATCATCTCTTTCTTAACTTTTCTCCTTATCCTCTGTCATCACCCAACTCTCCCTGTGATTTTTCTGTTAGTATGCTTTTCTTTTTCTCGGGTGAGTGCTATCATGCTTCCATTACCAAGGATGACCAAAAGGGGGGGAAAGCCTTTATTATATGAAATATTTACTTTTGTGAGAGCAATGACTCTCAGACTTCTGCCAGTTATTGGAGAGTAAGATGAAAGAGAACAAGAGCCTTGATTCAAAAGATGAAAACCTAATTTTGAACCATGCCTACTTCTCTGTCCCTTCCATCAGGGATAACTTCCCATTAAAGTACAGCACCCACCTTGGTGACCAGATCGGAATGTCTGATGATAGCACGAACAAAGAACCTGTAGTCTGTCACTTCTGTGCCCACTTCCACTTTGGCTGCCCCGAGATACAGGTGCATCTTGTGATTCGCACACGGAATGGCAGTGAGGTCAAAATTTCTCATCCGGTTCAGCTCTAACTGGAAAGCCAGAGCAGGCTCCAGGTGACGATAGATACGATCCTCCTCAAACTGAGTGCAAAAATCAGAGAAAAAACAGCTCACAAGAGGCAGTTACAAAATTGTAGTATGAATGTGTAGATAAAAGAGACGCTTGAAAACAGAAACATATGATGTACTAATGAACAACAAAAATGAGCTACGTACAAGGATAATGCTACAGCTTACATAATAAGATTAGGCACTGAAGCACCTATTTATTTCCCAAACTTTCATCATTTATACTTTTACAAGTGGCGATGCTCTGTATTAAAAACAAAGAAGCAAACAAGCAAAAAAACCCTAAATTCCCTTAGAACTCCTATAGCATTTAACATCTATATAATTCATTTTTACACAGACTGCTTCACGTTGATATCTACTTCACATGCCAATGTTTTGAGCTTACCCAACTAATCTAAAATGCTTAAGGACAGGACCCATGTCTTAACACTTATGACACGGTACAGAGGACATAACAAATACGCAACAAATAAACATCGTGTAATTTTGTAAAAGATATTTGGCTTTGGAACATACTATATTCATAGATATGTAACTATTTATATTAAAAAGTTGTATTAGTACATTTACTATATGTTTTGCCAAAACTAAATTGTTTTTCCAGAGCACATGTCAATTGAGTGAATGGAGAGAGAGTGCCAAAAATATAAGCTGATAACACGAAGAAACCAACATGGTCTGACATTTTTTACTTTTAAAATTGAAAAACAAATGTACATAAACAAAAGTGGAATGTAAATAAACTGTGTGTAGGAACAAGAATAATCCTACTTAGTGGTCCTTTAATATCATCACACCTTTAGGATCATTCTAAAAAGGATAGGGATGATTTTGAAAGTAATTGCCTTCTTTGGGTAGCTCAGTACGTTTCATTGTTTCCTAAACCAAAGTCTTTCAGAAGGGTGTCTGCTTTATTTTTAAGACACATGTAAGGCAAAGGGAAGCACAAGTTTAATCAGAGAAAGGAGAATGGCAAAGATAAACTACTCTTGGGCTTTTAAGAAATAAAAATTATATAAATGGAAGGAAGGGAAGGAGGGAGGAAAGAAAGAAGGAAGGAAGGAAAAAAAAGGAAAGGAAGGGAGGGAGGGAGGAAGGAAGATTGATTTAAAAAAATAGGGAAGAAATCAGTCCTTACCTTATCTCTCGCTCGGAATGTGAAAAATTTAGGGAATTCTCTCTGTATTAAAGGAGGGGGAAATATGTCAGTGCTTCATAGATACAGCTCTTTGGGGACAAACACATAGTATAGAAGCAGTCAAGCATCTAGAATACAGTTTTCTAGAAAACATGCTCCTTACCTAAGCTTAGTCTGAGAAATATGAATAATCCTCTGAGTAACCATCACTTTGACCCCTTTTCCAAATTTGAGAATCACCACATTATTAACTTAACTTTAATATCTACCCTCTCCCTGAAAAACAATTTGTATTTTTTATTTTTATTTCCCAAGTGAAAAAAAAATCTTCCTGGGTGTTGCTCTTCGCATAACCTGGCAAATAAAACCAATATACTGTTATGCTGCAGCCATTGCAATAGTAGTTACGGGACTGATTTCCCAAGTTTCTCCTTAAGAAGCCCTTAAAATGTAAACTAGTCAGATAGCATAGAATCCTCAGTCCATGATTTTTTCACATGCATTCTCTAGTTAATAATTTCAAGGGTTTAAATAACATTTCAAGACAAAGAAAACTACAAGAAGCTACTTTGGTCACTACCGCTATATGTCTAGGAAAAGAATGGGGTGAACTAGTGAACTTGTAATCATTAGGTCTTACTGCTTTTTTGTAGGGCATTATGCAAGAAAGCAACCAATTTACTAGAACCTTATTAATTAACAAAGATGAATTCAATTAGCAGAGTTCATTAGTTTCTGAAATTTAACTTATTAACACCAAATACCCCTGTTTCTCGGATGGGAAGCTCTACTGGCAGTGTTGGAATCAGGTCATTATTATTTGCCTCTATAGGAGGTTTCATTAGGCATCTTCTCCATTTAGAGTGCAATATAATCAAACACGTGTACAAGGCAGAGACCAAGACTAGCTACCTACATATCCTCAATGAGCTTTAGGAACCATGAAAGAAACATGGACTGAAAATCTAGGTGGCAGGCATTCTCGTGTGTTGTCCCACCCAATGTTCTCAACAACCTCTAGAGGTAGGTATCACGACCTTCACTTTTCAGATGAGGAAACCTTGGCTCATGTGGTATGCCCGGATCACAGAGCCAGAAAATAAGCTTGGGTCTCTCTAACTCCAGAGCGCATGCCCTTTCACCTCTCAAGGGCAGACTGTTACCTTTCTATTCCTGTTACAATCCAAATTCCTTATTTAGAGGATTTCTCTTTCATAAGACAAAAAACAGAAATTAAGACTTTAAAGGAAAAAAACAGAAAACAAATGAACAAAGCAAAACTCATGCTGAAAACTTGTGGCTCTTGAATTTACTGAAATCTTGAATACTTTCCACAGGTATTCCACATCACCTTCACCTTAACTAAGGCTTGCACAGTTAATAAACCTTTTTACATCTTCCTTGGTATTTTAACTGTAAAACTACATTTAACAGGCTTCTAGGAGATCATTACCAAGCCCAGAGAAATCCCTTGGCTAGGCTTGGGTCTTTAAAAGCACTTAAAAGTGGATTTTAAACAGGACTGATATTTTACTAATGAAGTTTTGTTCTAAATAATCCTCTTCTCCCACCCCCCACTCCCACCCAATGATAGGGAAGCACATGGGAATGACTTCAAGGTTAAGTAGATGGAAATTCAGCTGAGTTGTCATAGATTTCACACTCGTGGCTTTATAGAATCAAGTTTTGGTTTTATTCTAAAGAGGTATAGCTTTCAAAGCATTACCTAAAAAGTAACACATGTCAAAAAAGGAAGGATAACAAAATCTTTCCATGGAACTCTCTGAAAGAAAAGTCAAGGAACGTGATAATACAATCTTTTAAGCACACAATTTTCTATTCTGCCTGAACTATTATTAGTTAATTAAAATATTTATTTAGTTATATTATTTATTCAGTTATGTACGTTTATAGGATCAAAACCATTTCCCTTCAAAAATAAAATAGTAATAAAAAATGCTTTCTTTTCCATTAAGAAAATTTGTAGTAACTAAAAGGTATGTAAGTAAAGCAGTTTGCATAGAAATACCTTAAATACAAATAATGAAGAAACTGACTAATTCCTGGCAGAACTGGGCAACAACTACCAATTAGAAAAACCAATTTCATTAAGGTTAGCCAAGAAAACGTATCATGAGATAATATAATCAAACTTTTTTTCAGCTGCACTTCAAAGATCAGCAAACTTTTTTTTTTTTTTTTAACTTCTGTGTAAATTTTTAGCTCCACAGTAAAATTCTCAGTTTAAGTATTGAATATTCAGAACAGGAGATGGCAAGACCTTCTGCATGATGAGAAAGCAGGACTGTCAAGCAATTCTTTGAGAGACTTGGAAGTCTGAAGACTTTTATTCAAAGTCACCTCTTCTGGCACTCATAAACTACAGAATCACAGATAATATAAAAAAGAAAAAAAATCCCCAAGTCTGATCCTATGGTTTAGTAAATTCCTTCATGCCAATATATCCTCATACTGCCAATTTTTCCACTGACAGTATTCATGCTTTTTCCATCACTAATGTAATTGCTTTCCAGGCATTCTACTAGTGTTATGGGCAAATATCATAATTGAATATACACAAAGAAAAACCCTCTTAGTGTTCTGGTACCAAAAACAAAAGAATGCAACATTTCTCAGGAAGAAATTATACCCCTGCTGTGTTCTAATCAGCCAACCATCATCAAGACAATCAAAATAATTTGCCCAAATTAGCCAATCAAGACACCCTGCAAATCAGAGAATGTGAAAACCTGCAACAAAAAACATCATAGCTGATTATGATACTAATAATCGTGTTAAAAACCTAATGAGATGAAGAAATTGGGAGCTTGTTGGTGCAATTCTCTTTTACCTCAACATGCTGAGAACTAATTATATAGACTGTAATTAAAACAAAAACCCAAACCAAACCTTCTGAAAACTAATAGTTGGTCCACTAGCAAACAGAACTATCTTTTTTTTTTTTTAAAAGAAATCAACTACTAATTATGATAACTCTTCCTGATAATGAGTTCTTCCATCGAGGCCCAAATAATCCAAAACATCTAATTTGAAAGTGGAGCCACTCACATGACAATCATAAAACTACAACAATCTCTTGGGAGATTTATAGCAATTTAAAAAACTCATGCAATCTTACAAGCAAGAAACAAAAGGAAACATTTTATTAACATGCAATACTGTTTGATTTAGAATATCATCATGATTTTTGGACCTAATGCTTTTGTTTAGGTGACAAAGGATAAGAAAAAATCCTGAAAATACGCATTTTGGTATCTTCAATAAAACTTTGCTGAAAAAATATGGAAAGCTTCAAAAGAGCATAATACTGTATCCCAATTAGATAGCACTTCCTGCTGTACTTTTGGAATTGCAGATCTGAAACGAATGAAACTAACAGAGTGAGTTGATGAGTTTTAACTAACCTAAAACTGTAGAGCTGCAGTTTAGATAGCTGCAGCAATTCAAGGGGCCTCTTTTACATTCATGGCTTTGATCTTTTTTTTAAATATGAAGAATATATTTACAATGAGAGACTTGTTTTTCCTCAAACTTTCTGTTTAAATATCAATGTTAAGCAGTTATTCAAGTCCCATTATGGGTACTCGATTTAATCAGATGGTTGTGGAAACAGACTCAACACCAAGCCTCCCTAACACTCGTGAATATTGCTGTCGGCACAAGAGTCTCCATGTAGAGCCAGGAGACTAAGGCTGCAGCAGAACATATTTTCTGGGCAGCTTTCTGGGGACTATGGTGGTTAAACAATGAAGTATCGGAAATGCGTATAGCCATCACTGCCATCTGAATAAACATGCCTAAAAATACGCCCACTCCCTAGGAACCTCTACTCTTGTCTGGCGCTCACTTGTCTTGTTCTGGTTCTGAGGCAGTCTGAAAGACAAACTATGTAACAACGCAGCTTGCTTCATTCCACCAACCAATGTTATTCTTGAACCAAACTTGGTAACCTTCCTCCTCTCCTTGCCCTCTCAGGCGCACATTCTCTCTTCTAATCAATAATATAGGGATTTCACAGTGTAGAACAGGGTATACATCACAGTGGATTACCAAGAAGCCAAAGAGATCAAGGGATTCATCTCTAACACTCCCAGAAATCTTCCTCTTTTTTACACTACACTAACTACGGGGCAAGCACACATCAGATGACATGACAGAGGCTAAGCATCCTTCATGAATGGCAAGCTACCACCAGCAGGCAAATTCACAGTAGTACCATGACAGTGACCCCTAATTTCTGCCAATGCTTCCCAGCTATTGTAGATCCTGAACAGAGTTCAGTAATAGTTGCCCTTGTCCTCTGAAAACCACTAATCATGTTTAAGCAGACTAACATTAAAATATCCCAACTCCTCTGCCATTCAATTCTTTAGAGCAAATCCAGTCCACACCTAAACCTAATGTTCTCTACGCTCTAAAGCAGCCTTTTCTACACTCATGACAAATCAAGTCACTTGATAATTTAACTAATTTCCTACTTTATGCCACTATAAATAGGAACCAGACAACGATTGCCAGGGAAGACCCCCCTGCTGGCCTCATTTCCGAGCAGATTTTGCCTATACATGTCCCTATTCAACCTAAATCCAGAAATATCAGGATAGCTGGGAGAAAAAAATGTTTTAAAGCTATTAGATATACTCTAGGACACGACACAGATTCAGAGATAAGAAAGGGGATTTTTTGTAC